CCTCCTTCATGCTAAGAAAACCTATGTGCACACTGGGAGAGTTTTGTTTTGTTTTTTTGAGACAGAGTTTCTCTGTATAGCCCTGGCTGTCCTAGACTCACTTTGTAGACCAGGCTGGCCTCGAACTCACAGAGATCTGCCTGCCTCTGCCTCCCCCAGCGCTGGGATTACAGGTGTGCGCCACCACACTCAGCTCTATGTACACACTTGTTTTGTTTGGCTTTTTGTTTGTTTGTTTGTTTGTTGAGACAGGATTTCTCTGTGTAGCCCTGGCTGTCCTAGACTCACTTTGTACACCATGCTGGCCTTGAACTCACAGCGATCCACCTGTGTCTGCCTTGCTGAGTGCTGGGATTAAAGGGGTGTGCCACTGCCGCCTGGCAATGGATTTTTAAAAGCTATTTATTTTATTATTATTCGTGGTAACAGGGACTGAACCTCTTGTCTCCTGCCTGATTTCTCATTGACCTCTATCCTCAGCCCTCGGTTTTACTTTTTACTATTCTTTTTACGTTTTTATTTTGTTTATTTATTTGGGAGGGGCCCCACAAATATGCCACAGAGGTCAAATATGCCATGTGGAGGTCAAAGGAGAACTGTGAAAGTCCATTCTCTCTTCCTATCATGTAGGTTCTAGGAATTGAACTCAGGTCATCAGGCTTGTCAGCAAGCTCCTTTACCCTCTGAGCCATCTTGCCAGCCCCTGGCCTTTCATTTTGTGATACAATCTCTTATCACTGATGCTGGCCTTGGGCTTGCCATCCTCCCAAGAGCTGAGCTCAGGCCTGACTCACCAGGCCTGGCTCAGGCAGGGCTTTTTTTGTTATTTAGTTTCTCGAGATGTTTCTCTTACAGGTAGGCTGGCTTCTTTCTTTAAACTTTGTTTACTTCTATTTCCTATGCACTGGTGTCCTGCTTCATGTCTGTGTAAGGAGATCAGATCCCCTTGAACTGGAGCCACAGATGGTCGTGAGCCACCATGTGGGTGTGGGAATTGAACCTGGGTTCATTAGAAGAGCAGCCATGCTCTTAAGGGCTGAGCCATCTCTCCAGCCTGGGACTTGAACTCTCAATCCTCCTGCCGATGTCTCCCAAGTGCTGGAATTATAGGCATGTGTCGGCAGGAGCTGTTGAGTGGTTTTATGTGGGTGTGGATAGGGCACATGCATGCATCCCTGTGGGCATGTGCTTATGTGTGTGTGAGCATGATGAAGAGGCCAAATGTCTGCTCCCTTCCCCAATTGCTCTCCACCTCATTATCTTTTTAGACAATTTCTCAGTGAGCATGAGCTCACTTTGGCTAGAGTGGCTGCTGAGCAAGCCTGCTCTATCCCCAGCCCTGGGGCTGCAGGTGCGCCGCCTCTTTCCTGTGGGTAGAGGGATCTGAACTCAGGTCCAGTTCTTGTGCAGCACATACTTAACCCTGAGCCTTGTCCTCAGCCCCGAGGTGTGCGCCTCTTTCTCTAACGGATAAAACCTGATACACAAACCACTTTGATAACTTAGTGAATCTGTCTGCGAACAAATGACAGTTAGCACCCCCTGCTGTTAAGTGTCTGCAGCTCTATTTGGCTCTGTTTGGTGAGCTGAGGAATCTACCTTTCATCTGCTGTGTCTGCATCCACTAATGATGGGAGATAAAAGCTCTTTAGAAGTTTCCAGACCCAGGCATTGTTTCTTTAGCCCAAAACCTGTAATTTCCCATTGGACTGTCAATAGCCATATTGAAGACGGGCAATTCCACTCATAGCCTGCTGTAGCAAGAACAAATGTCACCCCCAGAGACGGTAGAGGGGCACATTCAGGCAAAAAGTGGTTTCTGAGTGTGCAGCATTGAGAGTGCAGACAAAGCCTCTCTCCAGCAGCGCTTCATAGTGAGACCCGGTCTCAAGGAGTAATAAAATAAATAAAAATCAAGGGGTTGGGAAGATGCTCAGCAGATGGGAGGACTTCCTGCTCTTGCTCAGGCTAATTCAGTTCCCAGTACCCATGTCAGTAGCTCCAACTCCAGCTCCAGGGGATCTGATGCCCTCTCCTGGCTTCCGTGAACACTGTACATGAGTGTGTGTGTATATATGTATATATATATATATACATATATACACACACATATATAATAAACATTAATATAAATATATAAAATAAACATTAATGGTGAAAAAATAAAGATAGGGCAATGGCTCAGTCAATAAAAGTGCTTGCTCTGAAAGCCTGAAGACCCAAGTTCAGACCACAAACACCCACGTAAAAAAGGCAGACACTACAGCATGAGTCTGTAGACCCTGTGCCTTACAGTGAGAGGCAGGAAGATCCAAGGGAGCTTGCTGGCCAGCCAGTCTATCCATACTGGTGAGCTCCAGGGTAAGTGAAAGTCCTTGTCTCAGTAGATAGAGATCAGTAGAGGAAGGCACCCGGTGACAGCCTTGGACCTGTACACGCACATGCGCAAGGGCACGCACGCAAGGGCACGCACGCAAGGGCACACAGGTGCACACAGACACCAAGGCCAGGCAGTAAGTAATAATAAGTAGGTATTTTAAGGTGGGCTGGGCGCCGGCGTGGTTGTGCAGTCCTATAGCCCTAGCTCGAAGGAGGCATGATGGCGTGGGCTGTATGAGGGCCTAGGAAACAAGAGGCTGCCTCAAAAGAAAGAGCCGGCTACATAGCTCGGTGGCAGAACTCCCCTCTGCTACACACACGGCCCAGGATCCAACCCTGACACCACGGACAAGAGAAAGAAAGAAATAAGAAAAGAGAGAAAGGAAGGAAAGAAGGAAGTCACGTTTTCCAAAAATTGTGACCTCACGAAGAGCTTCTCACGAGCTGAGAGGCCAAACTCACTTCTTCGCCATCCCTTTATAGCCACACCTTCTGAACGCTAAAGTCACACCCAACTCCTGCCCTCAGAAGGACACTGACCAGAGCCAGCAGCACACAGGGGCCAGGCTAGCCCACACCGCGCTTTCTTCTTTTGGTGACATTCCTTTCTACCTGTTAGAAAGTGATCACTTCAGGCTCCCTAGTGGTGCCCAGGAGGCTCTGGGGTCCTGTGCTGTGCAGGAAGCTCCTAGCACGGGAAGGGGGAGGGGGAGGACACTCCTCCTCCACAGCTTCGGTTTTTGTTTCTGTTCTCATTGGCTGGACGGCTCTCCAGCTCCCCAGAAACCCTCCCTTCTTAACGCAGGGTCGCCTGGCCACAGGCTCCTTTCTCAACCACTCAAACTGTTTGCCTTCAAGGGGGAGGCAGATGGGTGTCGTGCACACGCCCCACCCCCGGCCTGGCCTGGAACTCATTACTCAGCCAGGCTGACTGCAGATCTCCCGGCCTCCCACAGCCCGGGCGCTGAGATTACAGCCGCCTTTGAACTTTAACAATTCTAAGCTTGCATCCCACTCCTATCCCTGCAGACTCTGATGTAATTCGCTTAGGGTGGGCCTAGATATCAGGATTAAAGGTGAACATGGAACCTTTTGAGAATTCTAGGTCTGTTCCTCTATTTTTCCCTTCCTTCCTTCCTTCCTCCCTCCCTCCCTCCCTCCCTTCCTTCCTTCCTTCCTTTCCTTTCCTTTCTTCAGGACAGTGTCTCACTGTGTAATCAGGCTATATAGACCAGAGTGGCTTCCAATCCACAGAGACCTGCCTGTTTGGTGATTAAAGGCTTGTGTCACTATGCACAATTTGACATGTTTTTGTTGTTGTTTTGTGGGGGGGTGGTCTCACTACTTGGCCTTGGCTGACCTGGAACTTACTAAGCAGACCAGGCTGGCCTTGACTCATAGAGACTAATTTTCCTCTTCATCCAGAGTGCTGGAATTAAACCTATTCTAATTTTAATATTAAATTTATTTTAATCCGGGCATTAATTTAATTTAATAAACGTAATCTACTCCAGGCACTTGCCTTTAGTCCCACACTTGGGAAGCAAAGCAGGCAGATCTCTGAGTTTGAGGCCAGCCTGGTATATAGAATTCTAGGCCAGCCTCATCTTTAGCATGTTTCGGGCCAGCTGGGGCTACAGTGTAAAACCTTGTCTCAACAACTGAATTAATTGGAATGACTTTCGTTACCGTATTATGCTGTGTGAGGGTGCGCATGTGTGAAGCAGCATGGGAAAGGTCAGAAGACAACTACGGGTGAGGTCAGCGAGCCCTGACAAGGAGAGGGAAGGGGCAAGTCGCGTCCCATGAGTGGGTGAGCGGACAGTTTAAGTTTCTCTTTTGACCTTGTGCAGACAAGTTTTCCATCCCGAAATGCAGAGGTGTTTGTTTGAGACAGGGGACAAGGTGGCCTCCCCTTGTTGATGTGGCCAAGGATAACCTGGGATTTCAGATCTCCCACCCCGCTTGGCCTGACTCACCAGGCGCTGGGGCTTGAACTCATCTCTTCCTGTGTTCAATCTGGCCCTCTCCAACTGAACTACGACCCCAGCCCTGTATAGCAGATACTGCCAGGGCAGGAGGCCTTGGGTTAAAGCTCCAGGCTCTGACCCAAAATAATTCGTGGGTGCCATGATCTGTCCTGTTTATAAGAATTTTGCAGCTGCTGTTAAAGCAGGTATAGGCACCAAGCCCAAATCTGGGTGAATTCAGGGTCAAGGGCTTCCGCTCGCTGAGCTCCACTCTTAGGTGACAGCTGTCCCTGCGCAGAGAGCGGCAGGTGACACTTCTGCAGGCGGCGTCGGGCCTGATCGGTCCCGGACAGTGCCACACAGCAGCTCCAGTCTCTGCGCAATGACATCGGCCTGCACGTGGCGCGTGAGGTCCGGGAGCCCGCCGGGAGGCGAACTACACATCCCAACATTCCTCGGGCAGGGGTGGGGCGACACAGGAGGGTGACCAGGCCACCAGCCCTGACCGGGCGTGCGCAGTGGCTCTTGGGAGTGGCGGGGCGGGTCCTCCCGGCTGTCAGCTGTGGCCCCAGGCGCCTAGGCGGGGTGGCGGTGGCCATTGGCGGAGAGGAGAGCGGGGCGGGGTCGCCCGGAGCAGCTACACTAGGCTGTTCCTGCGGCGGTGAGCAGCCGGCCTGGGAGGCACGGTCCGTGCAGCAGCGATCCGGCTCGCGGCAGCGATCGGGCTGGGCCCTGGGAGGAAGGCTGTGTGCAGCAGCGACCCGGCTCGGCCATGGCAGCGGCGCCTCTGAAAGTGTGCATCGTGGGCTCGGGGAACTGGTGAGCAGCGGCGGGTGGGCGGCGCGGGCTCCACCTCCAGGAAGCCCCGGTTCCGGGCTGTTTCGGTGTGGTCACCGGGGCACTGCGGCCAGGCAGAGAGGCGGGCCTGCGATCGCACGTCCCGGTTGGGCACTGCACGCCCAGAGGACACGCCGAGGCACCGGCGCGCGAGGTGCCCGTCCCAGGTGGCCCGGGGGGGGGGGGGGGGCAGCGCGCACCGCGCCCGCGGGCACCTGTCTGCGCACTGGTAACAGCGCGGCTACGGGCCACCTGCTCGCCACGCCCGGGGATTTGGCAAAACATCCTAAAGGCGTTTTGCATTCTCCCTGGCCGATCACCCCTGTGGGGGAATTGGAGGACGCTCAGTCTCCCTTACTGCAGTTTTGATGCTGGGGGAACCGAGGCACAGAGGGCAAAAGGGTCCATGCTACCTGGGGCAGCCGCTGTCCTTCAGGAGGCAATAATCACCTCTTCTGGAGACTGGTTCCCAATCTTGCTAACGTGGTCTCGGGAAGGGGGACCAATTCCCCACAGGGCTCGCTGCCGGGACGTGGGGGTCCTGGCGGAAGGTGTTTGCGGAGCTTCGCGTCACGGCTGGGCTGGCTTTGACCTCACTTGTAAAGCTCTTGGTGCTTGGAGGGTTTTCAGGCTCTTCAGTGGTTTCGATGCCTTGATGATACTTAAGCTGGAGAAGTTGGGGTCGTGGTGAGGAGGCGGGACACAGGGTTGATGTGTTCTAGTCTTTCCCAGCGGCCCAGGGAGGGGGGCGAAGAGTTGAGGACCCTCCTACGTTTCCTGGCCCCTGGTCTGACTCACACCGCAGCTCAGGCTTTAGAAACAGGACCTGAAAGTCGTAGGAGCCATCTGGCTGGTCGTAGTCGCACTCTTTGAAGACTTGGCTCCAGAAGTCCTTTTGGAGGAAACCTTAGCTGCCTGTTCTTTTCCATTGCAGCTGGACCGGTGGCTTCTCCCTAGGCTCCTATTGCTGACCTCTGTCCCCTGCACTGGCCTCACCTTTTGGTTATCTATCTCGGGAGGGCTCTTCCCTCGTGCCCCGTTCTTTACCTGGTGCCTGGCATATGCTACATAAATAACGAATGTCTGAAAAAAATATTTTTTTCTCTTTTTTGAGACAGGGAGACAGGTCTTACTTCAGTTCTGGCCTGGCACTCGCTGGCACTTGTGTAGACCAAGCTGTGCTCAGTTCACAGAGATCTGAGGGTTGGCATTAAAGGCAAAGCAAGCACTACCATGACCGGATTTTTCCCCGGCAGAGTTTGAACCCAGGGCCTCTTGAGTAGTAGTGAATGCTCTACCACGGAGGAGAAACTCCCTGCACCACTCCACACTCAATAAACTTGAGACAGTTCTGTTGCTAAGTCAGTGATTCCCTTTGTGTGCTGTGGGGATCAAACGCCAGGGCCTTGCTCCTCTTAGGAAGCAGCTCCACTCGCAGCCAGCCTCCGATGTGTTAAAAGCCAAGAGCTGTGCAGCTCATAGTGGTGCACGCCTGTGACCCAGCACTCTGGGAGGCGGAGGCAGGAGGATCAGAGTTCAGGCCAGCCTGGTCTACAAAGTGAGTCCAGGACAGCCAAGGCTTCACAGAGAAGCCCTATCTCAAACAAACAAACAAACAAAAAAACCACAACTAAAAGCCAAGAGTTGTAGTAACAGCTGTCTGGAATTCCAGTCCTGTAGAGCAAGCAGGGAAATCAGTTCAAGGTCATACTTTTTATTTTTATTATAACGTGTTTAGTTTTTACTTGTATGCATATGAGTGTTTTTGCCTGCATGTTTGCAAGTGTGTGTTTGGTGCCTGCACAGAGAGGGCATAGGATTTCCTAGAACTGAGTTACAGATGGTTATGAGCCACCATGCAGCTGGGGACAGAACTCGGGTCCCCTACAAGAGCAACAAGTGTTAGTGACCACTGAGCCATTTCCAGCCCCTGTTTTATTTCTTTTCTGAGACCATATCTTAATGTTGCCCTTAAGATGTTCTTTTGCTATGTAGGCTAGCCTAGATCTCATAGAGAACTGCCAATCTGCTTCCCCAGTGCTAGGTCTAAAGGTGTGCACCACCACAGCTAGCTAATTTTTTGGGACAAAGTCTCCCTATGTTGTAGAGGAATTTTAATTCAGAACATGGCTGCTCTGGCAAGAGATCATCACATCCAAAGACCTTCTAGTTCTGTGTGATCTGCCTGGAATACAGACATGCCTTTAATCCCAGGAGACAGAGGCAAGCAGATCTCTGAATTCAAGGCCAGCCTGCTAAAAGCCAGTTTCATGTAAAGAAAAGCTTAGGTCCAGGCATGGTGGTACAGCTCTTTAATCCCAGCACTCAGGAGACAGAGGCACATAGATCTGAGCTTTAGCCAGTTCTGTTCAGGCAGTTAGGTTGAATCAGTGAGCTGAGAGGCAGTGCAGTAGAGTTGAATTCATAGCAGTTCAGTTCATGGAATTCAGGAGAGTTTTACAGAGAGGTTAAAGAGAGGACAAGATAGACACAGGTGAAGACAGAAGGAGCCAGAGAATGAGGACCTAGAAAATTAGAACAGATTGCTAGTTAGTTTGAGGCCAAGCAGAATAATTCAGTGAGAAACTGAGAGAAGCCAGATTACATCAGTCAGCTTGGAGAGGAGTTTGAGCCAGAACAGTTGAGTTGAACCAGCCAGCCAGAGTTCAGAAAGAGCTAGAAAGACTGAGCTTCTCAGAGACTGAAAACATTCTAGGCCTAGATAAGATTGTACAGAGGCCAGAAGCTTCCAGGACTCAGTCTAGGTTAGCAGACAAAGGCAGTAAGCCTTGGAGATTTATTATTCACAATTACATCAGGTGAATAAGGCTGGCCTTGAATTCACAAAATTCTGCCTGCCTCTACCTCCCAATGCTGGGATTAAAGGCGTGTGTCATGGCCTGTCTATTTTTATTTTTTATTGTGTTTTCGAAAGAGAGTGAGGGTTCCTACAGAAGTCAGAGCACAACTTTTGGGAGTTCCTTTCTATAGACTGTGGAGATCAAACTCCGGCCACCAGGCTCAGGTAGCAAGCAAGTTTACAGCTGCCCCAGTAAATCCCTTCCCGTGTGTTTTTTGGGGCAACAGCAGAAGGCCTTGTGCCACATGAAGTGGAACTCCTATCTGTCCTCTTCAAAGCTTCACACAGACCTTCAACTTGGCTTTACCAAGGTCACCCCAGAGAACTGTCAGCTGGCCTGCTGGCTCTGCCGCTGGACAAGCACCCACTGAGCACATTTTGTTGTTGTTTTGAGACAGGGCCTCATTTAGCTCAGGTTGGCCTTGTCCTGGATGAGGATGGCTTTGAACTCTCACTCCCCCTGCATTTCCCCCCGCCCCCCGTGCTAGACTCATCGCCTTTCCCTCTAGTTTACGACTCCACAGAGGATGGCCCCCTTCCCGGTTTGTCAGGTGCAGGCAGAAGCCCTGCCATGCTAGACTGAATTGGAACAAGGCCTGTCAAGTGGACAGCTCTGGCCTTTCATGGAGGCTTGGCTGCTAGCCCGAAGCATCTTCATTCTGATGTACTTGGCTTTAGTCTTGGTCTGCTCCAGCCCTGGGAGTGAGTAGAACTTGGCCTGTGACACAGTGATTGAGAAATGTTTGGAAGGTTTGGGCTGGCTGCCTGCCTCCATCAAATACGGCATCAGACAGAAACAGCTGCTGGCTTTACGCCATCACCCTGGGTACAGAGGCACTCCAGTCCTAGAGAGAGGATCCCCACTTCCTGAGAGATTCTCAGTTACAGGAACTGAGAGCAACAGAGAGGGGCCAGAATGGCTTGTGTCTTGTAACTGCTGCACGTGAGCAGAGGCAGGAAGACCATTACAAATAAAGGCTAACCTGGGCTATAACGTGAGTTCTAGACTAGCAAGAATACAGTGAAATCCTGTCTCAGAAACTAAGGGGGTGGAGATGGAACATTCATCCCAGGTTCTATACACTCCGGTGTTTGAGGTGCCGTGCTCATCAAGGTCCTGTGCTTTGTTTGTTTGTTTTGTTTTCAAGACAGGGTTTCTCTGCATAGCCTGGGCTGTTCTGAACTCACTCTGTAGACCAGGCTGGCTTCTAACTCACAGAGATACCTGCCTCTGCCTCCCTGAGTGCTGGGATTAAAGCCATGTGCACTGCCACACCCAGTTGGTACAGTGCTCTTTAGGGTACTGTATTCTGTAAAAGTAGCTTTTATTCAGCCAGAATGTGGTTGTGCATGCCTTTAATCACAGCACTTGTAAGGCAGAGGCAGACAGATCTCTATGAGTTCAAGTCCAGCCTGGTCTACAGAGTGAGTTCCAAGACAGCCAAGGCTACACAGAGAAACTCTTGTCTGGGAAAGGAGAAAAAAAAAAAAAGGAACTTTTAATTGTCTCTCTGAAGTTTGTTTCCTCTGTCTGCTAACCTAGTCCTAGTCCTGGAAGCTTCTGGCCTCTGTACAATCTTATCTAGGCCTAGAATGTTTTCAGTCTCTGAGAAGCTCAGTCTTTCTAGCTCTTTCTGAACTCTGGCTGGCTGGTTCAACTCAACTGTTCTGGCTCAAACTCCTCTCCAAGCTGACTGATGTAATCTGGCTTCTCTCAGTTTCTCACTGAATTATTCTGCTTGGCCTCAAACTAACTAGCAATCTGTTCTAATTTTCTAGGTCCTCATTCTCTGGCTCCTTCTGTCTTCACCTGTGTCTATCTTGTCCTCTCTTTAACCTCTCTGTAAAACTCTCCTGAATTCCATGAACTGAACTGCTATGAATTCAACTCTACTGCACTGCCTCTCAGCTCACTGATTCAACCTAACTGCCTGAACAGAACTGGCTAAAGCTCAGATCTATGTGCCTCTGTCTCCTGAGTGCTGGGATTAAAGAGCTGTACCACCATGCCTGGACCTAAGCTTTTCTTTACATGAAACTGGCTTTTAGCAGGCTGGCCTTGAATTCAGAGATCTGCTTGCCTCTGTCTCCTGGGATTAAAGGCATGTCTGTATTCCAGGCA